TAGATGACGGAAATAATTATCCGTTTAAAAAGACACACGAAGAAAAAAATTTTCTTGCCTGGCCAATCCTTCATCCCCCCCCTTCCGAGCTTCTTCCCTAAAGAAAAAAAAAAAAACTCGATGATAAACGAGAGGAGAAGCACGGAGGTGGGTTGCAGGAAGGGCTTAAGGACCAACGGGAAAATTTCTTATTATCGGGATAATGCTAATTGATTATTGCCGAATATAATAATTAATTGGTCGAAATTGTTTTATGTGGCTGAGGTACGTTAAACGTTTTGTCGATTTAAGTAACGGGTGGAATAGATTGAATGGAAATTCGTGTACGGTTGTGGTAATAGAAAGAAAGTAAGAAAGAAAGAAAGAGAGAGAGAGAGAAAGACAGAGAATTTGTGTGAATGAACGAGAAAGATAATAGAAAAGGGATAGGAAATGAGAAAAAGAAAGATAATTTGATATTGTCAAAAGAAACCACATACACATACAGAAATAAAAAATAATATACGGGCAAAATAATTCTAGAGGCAGTGCAGTGGATTACATAAATTAATCCTTTTTCTACGCGTTCGTTTCTATTTTAATATTTTTTTTTCTTTCATTTATATATATTATATTATATTTAATAAATATTTATATATTTAAAAAGAAAAGGAGACAAAAAAGAAGAAAATATTTCTTTTGAAGAGAGAGAGAGTGAGTGAGAGAGAGTGACAAATTCGAAATACAAATATATTATCGGCCGTACATAATCAATTCTGACGTAATTTTGTTTTCTAATTGACGTCGCGATATTGCATACCACACCGTTATCGTATTTATTTACATACATAAATTCTCACGCGTATGCGTAAGAATTAATGGAACGCACGTGTCGTCGGGATACTCGATTGGAAATAATTTCACGTAAACGAAACACACACGCGTGATATCCTAGCATATAGTGATGATGAATTATAGAAATTCATGTATGCAATATTGTTACGTAGAATTATCGAATTCGATCGTGGGTAATATATGTGTGTTATATGTTTATGACATTATTTGTTTAAAAATACGTTTCACAAATCGAACGTCGTCGTCGTCGTCGTTTGATTCTCTTAAAAGTTTTTTCAAAAATTTCATGAAAATGTGAGATTTAAAACAATTAAATGAAAAAAAAGAAAAATGATAAATATTAACGAACGAAAGGAGAAAAAAAATAAAAGCACAAATGGGGACGAACGAACGAACGAACGGAAGGAAAGGAAAGGAAAAGAAAAAAAAAACAAAAATGCATGTATGTAAAAAATAAAATAAAAATCAAACAGGATGACACAATTAATCTTGTTCGGTGCGCGAGTCCATAGTCGTTCGATATTTACGCTAAATCGATATTTAGATTACTTAATCAAAGAGATTTAAATTCACGGCTAAACGATTTCGATTAACCGGATTAAAAATAAAATAAAATAAAATAAAATAAAAAATAAAACAAAAATATGCGAGCACGAGATTAGAGAAAAATAATTCAATGACAGAAATTAACAATGAGAATGAATTAATCTGACTACACAACTACAACTACTACAACAATAAAAATAATAGAAAGGATGCGAAGAAAAAGAATAAAGAAAATAAACTACGTTATCTTCATAGTGTTTTCGCTCTATTTTTTACGGACTCGGAAAAAAACGAAAAACGAAAAAAAAAAACAAAGAAAAAATAAAGAAAATTGAAGTAACGTCGTGGAATCGCGATGACTGCCATTTTACGATTATCTCGCGTAGATCGTCCGAATTCAGCCAATCACAGATTTGATTACTTACAAAAGAATTATTAAGATTGAAAATCTAACAAAGTAGTCACATTTTTATTAATCCGAATCCGCATTTGCAATTCTCGTATAATATACCCGCGAGATTTACTTATTTATTTGCCTTTCGTAAGAAAATAAAATAAAAAGAAAAAAAAAACAAACTAACAAACAAACAAAAATTCAACGCCGGTACTATCGAGCGGTCTGCCGTGACGTTTTTACGCGTGCAAACTGCCAAAAGAAAAAAATAAAGGAAGAAAAAACCAAAAAAAAAAAAAAAAAAAAAAAAAAAAAAATTATATTAAAAATATAAATAAATGTAACACGATATCGAGAGACGAGAGACAAGTATACAAATTTTGCGTTCAGGTGAATGAAATAAGCAAAAAAAAGAAAAAAAAGTAAGAAAAAGGAAAAGAAATATGATCGAACTGATAGGAAAGAATAATTGATGGTAGGGTAACGTCGTAAAAAAAAAAAAAAAAAAAAAAAAAACAACAAAAAAATAGAGAAAAACAATTTCAAAGCAAATAGAAAATTACGAGCCATGCTAAATGCATATTGCACGCGATACGTTCTTCGATTAAAAGAAAAGAAGTATTATTGTATACATATGCGAGAATGATAATGAATTAATTAAACATAGTCGCGTTTCGATTATCCCCAAAACAGAATTAAAATGAATCAATCATCCTGCGAATCAATCATTTATTCGCGTTAATAAACGAAAAACGAAAGAAGAAAAAAAAATATATATATATAATACAAAAGAGGACTCATTTTTTCGTCCTCCTCGGGAATGAATTTTCAAATAAATCAGAAAGAAAAAGGATAGACAAGTAAGATTTCGATTGGATCATAGAACGTGACTTCGATAATCTCTTCTCTTATTTTATCGATTTGATATCGATATGAGAAAGAAATTTTCATTCAATTCACACCCAAGAAAAAGAAAATAAAAGAAAAAGTAAATATATTAGATCTACGTTTTATCAGGCGATTTAGCGGTTTATCACTCGTAGATCATTAGAATTTCAAATTGTAATCTACGGATAATATCAATTTTTCATTAGACGAACAAAGAAAGAGATAGTAGTATGCAATTTTTATCGTTATTTTCGAACGGTACGACGAAGGTGAAAATGAAAAAGTAAGAAATTCAAAGAGTTTAATGTTAAAACGAGAATGAAATTACAAACTGTAACGTATAGTATGAAAGTGAAAAACGAAAAGAAAAAGTATGCAAGAAAATGATGAAAAATGAAAGTGAGAGAGAGAGAGAGAGAGAGAGAGGGAGAGAAAGTGTGTGTGTGAGAGAGAGAGAAAGAAAGAAAGATGAACAAATGAAGAAAATAGGAAAAAACGGGTGAATATTTTAAACAGGATGTTTTTTTAAGTTACACGCTTTTATTACGATAACTTGAACTTATCGCCTCGCTGATTTAGTCAAAATGAACAAGAATAAAAATATATATATATATAAAAAAAAAGTAAAAATTATAAAAATACGAAAGACGCATCACAAACTAACTAACACAGACACACACACGCAGCCTAGCTAAAAACAAATAAAAATTAAACGCGAGAGAAAACGT